TATATATATATGTTTTTATGTAGGGTTTTCATTAATTCAACTATATGAAAAAAATTTGTTTATTTTTTACAAATTAATTTGAGTGGTTTTGTTCCCACAATAAAAAAAAAATAAGCCATTCAGTGCTCATTATTTGTTTTTTGTTTTTTTTTAACCCTTTTTTTTTTTAACAGTATATCAATAAGGTTCTTGGTAACATACTAGTTAAAAAGGAGTATCGTACATAGTATTAGTATTAGTAAATCCTTAACAATATGCTTCCGTACACAGGAGTAATGACACTACAGAGCCAACTTTGAACAATCCAACTGACTTTTGATTTTTCTTCCCACTCTTCTTACTGAGAAAAGCTGTTCCTGTTTTTTTTTCTTTTTTCGTTTTTTTCTTTTTTTTACTCTAAGGTTAACATTATCGCTGCAAAAGGCAGAAATACCTTAAAAAAGGTAATTTATATACAGCACATTGGGTGAACAGCTCCAGTCTCTATATTCCTAGTTTGGCCTCTAAAAACTTAATGTGAGCCAGTTTTCTTTTCAGTGGGCGGGGCTAATGTTGATTCTGCTGAGTTCTGTAGTAGCTCCAACCACACAACATAACAGGAAGCTGTCTCGTAAGCTTATTGTACATGTCTCAGACTAAACTATGCATACAGAGGCTGGATTTAATAACCCAATGTGCTGTAATTATCACTGTATGTATCTAAAGCCATGAGTTACTCTTATGTAGTATGTGTCAGAACAGTGTTAATAGAGTAAACTTTTTTATATCCTTTTTGAGCTCTGGAAAGGAGTTAATTTCCGTTAAAATAATTGACAAATTGATTACGAACTGTTATTTTTCTCTCATCAGAAAGCTCAGAAAGTAAGTTAATTGGTCTACAGTTAGGATGAGTGAAAGGTAAATTTCCACCTTAAGGTAGAGCTGTAGTATAAGATTGTTTCCAAAGTTCTGAAATGATCTACTAATTATATATTGATTAATAAAGAATATGAAAGATTGGTTTTTCAATCAGTTTTCATTTCATTGAGCTGTTTTTTTTTGACAGCTATCATCGCCCTTCCATTCCCTTCCATCAAGATTGTCAATTTGCTTTTTCCATTTCTTGTCTCATTTCTTACCATTAAAACTTATCAGTAGAATAGATATAGTTACAAATCTAACTTTTGAAGAGGTATAAGTAATTTGCAGTTGAGCTGTATGTGGAATAGAGCCTAAAACACAAACCATTTGCCATGTATTAGTATATTAGGTCAAAATAGGTATCCTACTTCCGGATGTATAAAATATCTCAGCAAAGCTGTAACCAAAATTAAATGCAAAAAGGTAGGAAAATTAAAGCCCCACTAAACAAGAACAGGTCACAGCAAGACTTGATCATCCAGTTTGACTCTTCAAGTCTGGGTTTAACCTTCATTTTGTGTATGACTCAGAAATCTATTTTTAACTAAAACAAATCCTTGTTACGTATATATTTTATATTCTATTTTTGGTTTAATTACCACCTGAGATGTCCTCTAGATAATTGGTCACTCTTTCCTTCTTTCTGTCTCTCTTAGCCTCCCTCATTCCCAAGATGAAGCCATGTTGGAGAAGTTTAAACGGCACCATCAGAACAACTCTCGCTTTGTGGTCTCTCCTAACAAGGAGGCTACTTTTACCATTGAGCATTATGCTGGGAAAGTTAACTATCAAGTCAAGGTAATTGGACGCAGTGCAAACATTTCTACATTCCAGATAACAGGAGTATTTGTCCTTCACCTTCAATAAGTTGGTGTGGAAGAAAATTCCAAATAATCCCTGATAAATTGATTGATTGTTTCTCAGCACTTTGAACACAATCCAGTTCTTTGAAGCACTTTGATGTTTGATGTTGTAAATACATGGTATAAGGCTGTATTTTTTTTATTTTCCTTTTTCTTTCTGTACTATAGTCTTTATGTAAACTGAAAGTAGGTGCAAACTTTTGTTAACAAAACAATTCCCGTTTTATTGTTTTTCTTCAAACCCTGAATTGTTTACATTACACAATATGCTGGTATAAACACTTGAGAGGCTAACCAGGTTAGTATTTTAAGGTAAAACTTCAAACACAATGTTTGATCAATCAAAACAAACAAGCTATGAGATCAGGAAGATCCCATTCCATAGGTTATAAAGCCAGGTTAAGGTTGCGCTTGTTGGCTTCACGTTCAGTTGATTTTCTGATAAAGCTAAAATTGAAATAATTCTCCATAGCTAACATATGAAAAAACATTGCTTGTAAATATTAATCCAGTACCTCCACAAATCAACCAGGAAGTGAAAGCTTGAACACAAATACCGTAGCATAACCAGGAACAAGTCTACCATGAGCTGTTTTGAGTTCTCTACAGATCCTGAAAGTGAGTTTAAGCTTTTCAATGAGGTCAAATTTATGGAAATCTAAAAAAATAAAGAAGATTTGACCATTTGAATGTTAGCAATCTCTATTGTAATTTAAAGATAATTTAGATTCACTCTAGAGCCAGTTTGATGGTAACAGAAGCTGTTTATTTTAAGTAATTTACATACTTACCTTCCTCAGTAGGACTTGTCAACAGAGGTTTCATATAAACAACCTGCATTATTTTTCAATATAAAGGTAATTTACAGCACTCGATCATGATAATTCTGTTATATCTGTGCATTGTACAAAAAAAAATAGACACCTAGAAAACTAGTTAATCCCTTGATACCCATCGTTGCAAATTTGCAGCAAGCCTTTTGTGTTACCAAGATAGCATGTGCATTCCCTAAGTGCCTGTTAA